TGTATCAAAACAGGCAATAAAAATGATCTATATTTTATGAATATATACATATTTGTTATTGTTACTGAACAATATCTTTTAGCTTTATGCTATGAGATTTTATAGACTGACTGCAAAAGAAAAAGCTGTGTGAATCGTGATATTTATGACCTTTGTAATAAGTGTTATGTATCTACTTCAATATCATTCTCAATTACTTTCTGGGTTTCCAAGTAAGGAAAAATCTTGTGGGTCTCATAACCAATTTTGTTTCTTTAAAAAATCTGTTTGGATTTTATCTTGTTGCTCTCTGTCTTATAATGTTGACATTATCTTCTACACTGGTTTTGAGAAGCTGAGGACTGAATCAGGTTTCACTGCACCAAATGTACACGGTATACACCATATATTCTGCATTCATCATCTGCTTGACTATATTTTCTCAGAGGTATTTCACTTTAAATCTTAAATATTTATACACTTCATTGTTTTGTTCGTGAGGCAATACAACATAGTGTGTAGAATTTAACACTAGAAATCTTGAATTTACTTTCGTTTTCACCAGAATTGATATTCCACTAAAATTCATTGTGATGAGATCAGACCAGGGTTCATTCTGATCGCTGGACATTTATTATAATTGGTATATACCTTTTTCCTTGTTTCCCATTAAATACTGTGAATAGCCCTTGGGCTCCTCCATGTTACCGTTTTAGCTCTTGATCACATATTTAGCTTTATAAAGACTTAAAATTCTTCAACTAGAAGAAAGGGAAGATAATAGTCCTTAAGTGAGTTAATTGTTTAAGGAGTCAGTGACCTTATACATTAAGCGGGCTTAGCATAAGGTTCATCGCATGGTAAGCACTCCATTGCGATGATTGTTCAGAGCATGTATTTCTGTAAGCTACTTCAAATCTTTGCCTACACCCTTATAAAAATGAAGATGAAAACTGAGAATTAGGGAGAAAATAGTCACTTTGCTCATCAAATATTTATTAATTTTGAGTCCAATTTGTTACACGTCTCAAAACCACAATAGGATTTTTAATGTGTAGTCAAGACTATGTATTCATGTAGAAGGGTAATTTTTAAAAATAAACACTGTCTTTGCAATTTTGCTACTTTATATATTTGAGTTATGTTCTTATGAATTATGTTCTTTAATAATACCATGTTTTATCTTAATTGACTCTTACAAGAACATTCTGAGATGAGTAGGTAGTCAATATGCTATTGCCAGAGAAATAAATGGTACCTTAACTCACAAGTCAACAAAATTACAGGAATGTGAGACCAGGATGAACATCTTTTCTACTAAATTTGCAGTTATTCATATTTTGTCTGCTTTCTATGAAAGGCAATGCTGCTTATATGAACTTAAGCTCTTGCTACATTGAGTAAAATTCCAAGTCTTCTATTGACTTAGTACCCGATGCCATCAAATCTGACTTTTTCTTACCATTAACATTCTTGTACATTAATTATGAGTAACCTGAGGAAAGTATGTACATGATACTCAAATGTAGCATTGTTTGTGATTGATCACAGGCCCATTAAAAGTGTCATCATTAGCCCGGGACATTCATAGTTTTATAACCTTATAATTTTAATTCTAATTTTATTCTATTTATCTGAGTAAGAAGGATTATTAAGAAATTACACATTTAACATTTTCATAGGAATTTTGGCGATACCTCACAATATTCACCTTTATTTTATAATAGAAGAAACGGAAGCCCCAACCTCATAAATGTTTCTAAATAACACATATCTTTGCAAATGCTGTTTACTTGAGTTTTTCCTGTTGATATTTTCCGTTTAAAATGTTGTGGAGGGCTGGCTTGGTGGCTCACGTCTGTAATTCATAAGCTTTGGCAGACAAAGACGGGAAGACTGCTTGAGCTCAGTAGTTTAAGAACAACTTGGGCAATGTGGTGAGACTTTGTCTCTACAAAACATAGAAAAATTAGTGGAGTATGGTAGCACATGCCTGTAGTTCCAACCACTCAAGAAGGTGAGGTCCAAGGATTGCTTGAGCCCAAGAGTTTGGGGTTTCAGTGGACAGTGATGACACCACTGCACTCAAGCCTGGGTAACAGAACAAGACACTGTCTTAATGTTTTGATAGAGACAATAATATATTTGATACTATTCACAGAGGGTAAGGGGAGAAAACAAGTAAAACAAGCAAAAAAAACCAAGCAAAACAAACTGATCACTGCCCCCTCAAGCCTATGGGGCGAAGCCCAGAGGAAACCAGGTTCATACTTCCTTGGGTTCTCTTTCAATGATTCCCACAAGGCACACTTATTTTTACCTGCACTGAGCTGACAAAGTGTAGGAAATGGTGCCAAACAGGGAATCTCATTAGAGATTTGGTGCCCAGAGTTTTTATTAGGTGCTAATCACATAGGCAGTCTCTGTCTGACACAAACCAAAATTACACATCCCCAGAAGGAAAAGGGATGTTTGGTATCAATCATACTGTTTGTACAAACAGTTTGTGCACAGTGAGCCATTCCTACCAGTTAATGGGAAAAGCGCTCTTCAAATCTAAATTCTCAGACACTCGCTAAGGGCAAACCTTATAAACCCACTTTCCAAGACTAGCAGTTCAGGCCTTCTGTCCTGATTCTTTTCTGCACAAGTTTTATTGAGACAAATAGTTAATTAAATAGAAGAAAGTAACTCTCCTAAATTACAATAAAATAAAATCTGTAAAAGGCACAACAGGGGCATTTATCCTTTTTATTTAGACTTTCACAAGATCTATGATAAGAAGCATCAACCATGCACACTAAACAATTTATATGTAATTCTTTTGTTGCTCTTAAATCATGACAATATTGTGCATACATATATAAACAAATGTGATAGTTATTATCAGTTATAAATAAAAACAAATTTCAATGTGTTCATATTCTTTTCTATTTAACTTCCTTTTTATAACAAGATATACATTTTATAAATCACCTAATATTGATATAAAAATATAGGTTTCAGGCTCAGTGCCCGTAGCACAGTGGCTACAGGTGCCAGTCACATGCACTGAGGCTGGCGGTTTTGAACCCAGCCTGCGCCAACTAAACAATGATGACAGCTGCAAAAACAACAACAAAAATTTAGCCAGGCCTTGTGGTGGATGTCTGCAGTCCCAGGTACTTGGGAGGCTGAGGCAAGACAATTGCATAAGATAATTGCCAAGAGTTTGAGGTTTCTGTGAGCTGTGATGCTATGATACTCTACCGAGGATAACAAAGTGAGACTCTATCTCAAAAAAAAAAAAAAGAAAAAAAAAAAAAAAATATATATATATGTTTCACTACCACAAAATGCTATTCTCTGATGCTTACTATAGTATTCCATAAATTTAAAAATATATATTAATAATTTGTTCTGATATGAATTATTTAAGTCAGTATGAATCCTTTAACTGCTGCTGATGATATTATTAAACAAAATTACTATATAATAATATTATTGATAATGAGAAATATAAACACCTCAAAGATTTTTATTACTAGAGGAAAATATGTCCTTTAATGAACTGACCTCTATGATCCTCCTTTTTCTACTACTGTATTTGATAATATTTGAATAGCAGGATCCATCTGAGTTATTTAAATTCTTAAAATTTAAATAACTATTTTGGTTTTTATTAGTGAAGTGTCTCTCTTTTATATCAAAACCATAGAGTATCTAGTTTAATTGGAAATTAATATATAATAATATCTTAATATTACTCTATTCACGGATCCATTCAACTGTGGCCTCCACTTATCTACTCTATTTTTTTTTCTTTTTTTTTTTTTTTGTTTAGCAAATCATTTGCTATGCCTGAGAGCATAACTTTAGATTACTCTTCTGTTTTAACTTTTTTGTGAAATATAAAATGAAATATTCTTTATCTAAGAAATACGTTAAGTTATAATGTAAGTAAAAGGTCATGCTTGAAAGCAAAGGCATTTGTCACCCAACAAATTACTAGTCAATTATTAAGGAATATGTTTCTTTAAAATGAAGAAATATGTAGATACGTCCTTCACCAAGATGCCAAACGTAGCCCTATCCACAATGGGACACATTAATATCATGATTCCTGGTTAGACATTGAGAAAAGTCCAGATCAACTGTACAGTGTCCCTGCCTAAAAGGGAGTGGGACACAGGAGGGGAGGAGGGTGGATGGGGGAGGGAGGGTGATTGCTGGGGTCACCTATATGGTTTATCTTACAAGGGTACAAGTGAAAGCAGAGTATGAATGTCTTAACTTAATGACTAAGAGAATGACATGAAGGTTATGTTAACCAGTTTGATGAGAGTATTTCAAAATGTACATGAAAACAGCACATTGTACCCCATGATTGCATTAATGTACACAGTTATGCTATAAGAAATTAAAAAAAAAATCTCATCTAATCATGGGATTTAATCCCAAACGAGAAATTTTGATAAACAACTCATCTGATTTTTTTTCACCAATACCAATTCTGTTCTTGATTAAAGGAAACCAAAGGAATGTGTAACAAGTAAATTTGATGTGTGATCCTTGATTAGTGACCAAAATTAAAAAAATAATAATAATTAAAAGCCATAAAGCAAACTCGTTTAATGTTTGGAGAAATGTACATTACAGCAAATACTATGGAATCAATTTTGTGTGTGTGTAATAATTATATTGCCACTGTGGGGGAATGCTTTTATTCTTAGCTAATACATGCTGAAGCTTTAGGTGTGAAATATGGTGGCTGAAAGTGGTTCTCAAACAATTTAGCAGCTGCAACACAAACACACATACACGCACTTGTTGAAGCTAGAACAAAGATACACGGGTATTTCTGGCACATGAAATTAGAAGTTCAAAGTGCATAAAACAGTTGCAGGCCTTCACTGCATTGTATAGGTCTTGGTTCACCTCGGTTTAGAGAAGGTCTAGCAAAACCATGTTTGGAATAATCTTGTGGCACATAGTATTTCATGATTTGAAAAGATTTTCACATTCTCTTCACTTATGTTTAGGCTGCTTGGAATTAAAGGAAGACACCATTGAGAACCTTCTCGCTGCAGCGTGCCTTCTGCAGCTTCCCCAGGTGGTAGAAGTGTGCTGCCACTTCCTCATGAAGCTTCTACATCCATCTAACTGTTTAGGAATCCGCGCATTCGCAGACGCTCAAGGATGCATTGAACTAATGAAGGTGGCCCACAGCTACACAATGGTAAGGAAATTTAATATGTTAGTAATAGACACACACACCATATTGTCAGAGGTGAAGCTAATTACTGTGATGACTTTGAACTTTTTTTTAATGTTTAAAATGGCACATTTTTTATACGAGGGAATACCATGTGCTGTATTATATTTTACTATTTCAAAGTACAAAAGACACTGTTTAATGGACTTTCTTGCTAATTTCTGGATTCTGCCTACTTGGAATTTTGAGGGATTTTTAAATCATATTTTTAAACCATATTTTTAAATTGTTCCTAGGATATCTATCTTGTTCTAGCCACTTCCGCAGGTACCTTGTTAAAATATTTTCTTAACAGTTTTCCTTCAATCTCTTCATCATAGCATATTGTATTTGCTATAGCCGGGCCACTATGATTTATGGAAAAAAAATTATAGTTATAATGTATTTTTTATAGTATACAGTCATATATAATGTTTGTTTGTATAATGAGTATTGTATTCCTGGGAACTCCTTTACTAAGGTAATACATTTAAATATATAACACAGCTTAGCTATGTTTTTGTAAATTAGACTTTCCAAACTATTGTCTCAATGAAAAAGTTTACATTGAATGAATATCCATCAGTAAATATTCTTATAATAAAGCCTTTCATACACACAAACATATACACACAGTATATATAGTATTTCTATTTGTATTTATTTCATATATGTCTGTATTTTTAACTGCTTTAGAGAGATTTCAAAAGTCCTTTGAACTATAAATTTTAAATGTGTGAACTTTGGAGTGTGTTTTTTAATAGTTTTTTCATTATAGAATAGAGTAACCAATTGCAAGTCTCATACCTATCATATTACATAATATACCTAGAATTAATCATTCTAAAAGCACCTAGTACAGTGTCGGCATAGAGGCTCCATATGCCAGCCAGATTTGCTAATATTATTATTATTGCTGTTGTTTTGAGTATTGTTACTTTTTGAATATCATTATTGAAACAACTAATTATAAACTTTATAGAAATTTTTCTTTTGAACTCAAATGAAGAATTTATATGAGATGAATATCATTAAGTGTAATGATTGCTATTTATTTCAAAAGTCATATTTTGAAATGTTACACTTTTGCAAATTACTAATGAAAGTCAACCACTTAACAGTATTGTTATTTTGAGACAGAGTTTCAATATAATTTTTATTTTCTTTCTTAATTATTTAAGCAGATTAATACATTAGATTAAAAATGTAGAAATAAAAAGTAGATACGTGATTTTATAATTGTATTGCCAAATCCTTCTTTGGAAATATTGGATGACAGACACGATACTACTTTTGAAATGATATGAACCATATAAAATCAATGTAAACAAATCATTCATCAACCAAAATATCAAAGTCCAGCCGCTGTCATTTAATTAGGCACATTTCATTACATTCAGGAGTTCCTGGCTTAGCGAAGCCAAAGAACAATATGCCTCCATATCCAGAGGGATAATGGTCCCTTCTGGTCTAGTTTGAAATTATTAATTTAGTAATAAAAATGTTTTCCTCACAGCTGCTTGGGCTGTTCCACAATTTATCATACAAAGTAACAGCATTTCTCTCTTTAGAGACTGCAATAAAGTATAATTTATGGAAAAATGTATTCATAACAGAAATATAGAATAGTTCAAGGACATTTTTATTCCAAATGACCTTGTATTAATTTTCTTCTGAGACTGTCCATAGCTTATGTGTTTTGTTATTATAATTTTGGAAATGTTATTCCAATAATTTTGGAAATGTGAAGCTCCAGAATTCTGTAGAAGTTCATGGTCACTACCTTAGAGAAGAAAAATTATTGACCAGTTATATTCCTAGATCTCTGTTTGTCCTTCATTCTAATAATTTACAATTCATCTGATATTATGACTTCCCATCACATATTTGCCCGTGATCTTTGTCTAATCAGGCACATGCCCTTATCTACACTAAGCAATCTGTGCTTTGAAAGCCAACATATTGTACTATGATGTTTTTCCTACTTAACTGTCTTAGTAGCAAATCACTCCAGTTTTCCCACTACATCTGGGATGGAATTAACTTCTCTCTTGGTTGTAATTATGTGTTTGATTGTTTAGTACATAAGTAACGCTTTTTCAAAGAAATCAATTCCTTGCCAAAAATCTTTAGATACGAATCTGATTTTAATGTCCAGACTATAACTTCATAGTCCTTTGCTATCTACATGATTTTCTGTGTCTAATTTGGAAATGTTATTATTTATTTGGCATCAGTTATCAATTTTGTGTGAATGATTCCAAAATCTATTCAGGGAAGGTGACTCGTCTTGGCAGTGATTCATATGCAAAACACTGGAAAATTTTGATTGTAAGCTAATATTAGGCCTCAGTGTGGAACTAATTCTAAAGCATTAGTGCAAAGTTTTGGCTGCTGCATGAACATAAAGATAGCACCAAAATCATTGAAGGAAATAGTCTCATTGTACCTGATTAATTATGAAACCTGTGCTTACCTCTGAATTTCTTACTGTAAAATAGATGAGAAGGGTGAAGAAAAGTTGAAACAAATGGTTACCTGTGAACGAATACAATTAGGGAATGAAAATAGCTAGCTATTCATGTAGTTGGTAAAATAGCATTGTGCTTAACACAGCAATATTTAAATGTTTTTCATTCCCTTTTTTAGTATTTTAGTAATGCAGTTCTCTGTTCAAATTAGTTTATAAAAGCATAACTTTAGAATTGACTTGCTCTTAGTAAAGATGGATGCGATGTCATGAGGGCTTCTCTCCTCTGCTCTTTCCTTCTCTGCTCAATTGTCTGTTTCCACCGATCATCAGTTACCACTTCACTCCAAAGTCAGCTCTACCTTTTGGAGGAAAGCCCTGGAACCCCATTTTCATCAATCCTTTTTCCAGATGGTCTGAGTTAGAATTTGCCAATTCATGCAAGAGATGGAAGGTGAAAGAGAAGAATCAGCCATTACTGTCTACAGGCACATGCAGGCAGATATTTAGGGGAAAGGAAAAGAGGAATAACTTCCAAGCGACTCCTTGAAACTGTTTACTTCACTCAGGCAGTTGTTGGGGGCCAACTGGATGTTCTTAAGCAACACAGTATCTGTGCATACTGTTCTTGAGAACAATTCATGTGGAAGTGAAGCTGGAGAGCGGTAGACTCCAATTCCCTTTGCACAATCTTAGATCAAACTTAAATCATAGAGTCGTTTCTTTTTCAGTAATATCTTCAATATGTAATCCAATGCCGCAGGTTCAACCGCCGCATTCCAGTATGCACAGTCCTGCACCTTAGCTTCCAAAGCACTGCGCAGGTGGTTTTCCTTAAAAATTAAATGGAATTGGCTCATCACCCATAGCACAGGGGTTATGGTGCCAGCCACATACACCGAGGCTAGAGGGTTTGAACTGGGCCCAGGCCAGCTAAACAACAATGATGACAACTGCAACAAAAAATAGGTGGGCATTGTGGTGGGTGCTGTAGTCTCAGCTACTTGGGAGGTGGGGCAAGAGAATGGCTAAGGCCCAGCAGTCTGAGGTTGCTGTGAGCTGTAATGCAAGCACTCTACCGAGGGAAACATAGTAAGACTTTGTCTCAAAAAATAAAATAAAATAAAATAAAAAAAAAAACTTAAGTGGAATTGATCTCACTCCTCCTACACCTTTGTGGTACATTTGCTCACACTTTACTCAGATATCAAATTCTAAATAACCTCTCACTTTGAAATTTAAGTGTATTCAGGCCAAAGAAATATCTTTAAACTTCTTATGGAATTCTCTCCCTCATTTGAAATCGTAACATTCCTTTCTTTGGGACTATGTAATTTCATAAACATTCTTATACAATTTTTTTTTATTCTTTGTGACTCGTCTTCATAAATATATTGCAAATTCCATTATGACCGACAATAAGTAATTTTTGCCAAATTATTTTATCCTGACAAAGCAACAAGTACATTATAAAATATTCATCGATTCCCATTTTTGGAGGGGAATTCTTTTAGAATTGTGAATTCCAGCAGTCTTGAATTCACTCATTCCACAAAGCTACTTATGATTTACCTCTGCTATTCTTCCCAGTAACATTTTCTGCCATTTTTTCCCCTGCTCACAGAGATTTAGTGACACTGACTTTCTTACTGTTTTTTGACTATATTACAAATAATATCATTTGAGGACCTTTGTGCTTGGTCTTTCTTCCTTCTGCTGGAGATACCCTTCCACCAAAAATTTACAGCTCTTTTCCTCTGTCTCATTCAGAACTCTGCTCAATTGTCACTTGCACAGAGATTTCTTCTATGAATATTCTGTATAAAGTGACACTACCCTGAAAACGCTCCCTTACACTTGTTTATCTTGCAGTACTCATTAGTCCCTGGCTTTATGTTATTTATATGCTTTTGTTATTGTATATAAATAATACAGTAGCTTAATATAGTAGGTTCTTGGTATCTTCTTTTAAATTTTTATAACCTAAATGCTAGATAAATGAATGTACAGTGTAGTAATTGTTGAATGAATAAGTGAGGTGACTGTTGATTACTAGGGACCAGTAGTCAGGGTCAGGATGCTCTCATTACGTGGCACAGGAAATTCAATGGTGAACAAAGTAGATAGGATATTGCTGGTAGAGTCAAAGTTAATATGTTGAATGAAAATAAATTATCGCTATAAATAATTATTATATATGCCCAATTATATGTGTGTGTATGCTATATATATACATATATAAAATGCTACCAGGAAAAATTATAAGATGCTAAAAGAGAGTTAAACAGAAAAGTATCCTCAAGTAAGTGATGTTTAAAGGAATTGTAAAGGATGAAGGAAAATTAGCCAGGTACAGAGTTGTCTAAGGAATGCTGCTGACAGGGAAGGTGGATATACGAGTGATCTGAGGTGGCAAAGAGCTTGTTCTGTTTAAGGAAATTCAAGTGAGATGAGATGGACGGTGAAGAAGAAAAAAAGTAGGTTATGAGGCTGGAGAGTTCAGCAGAATCAAATT